CTCACATTGATGTTTCTCTCCCCCTCCTCCCTCCCTTCCTCTCTCTCTAGAAATCAATGGAAAAAATATTCTCAGGTAAAAGAATATCCTAAGGTGAGGATTTTTTTTAAAAAAAAGAACACCTTGAAAGCAATAGAGTGTCCTCAGAGCACCGTCTGGGGAGGTGCATGGTGCATGGTATCTGTCCCATTGCTGGCGGTGGCAACCTCAGTCCCTCTGGTGAGACGGGCCTGCCCAGTTTCTCCAGTGCAGTCACCGTTTTTCTTGGTCAGTATTGCAGGGAACTGCTCAGGCCTACCTTAAGCTTTAAAATGGACTTCCTTCGCCAAAACAAACCATAGCACATTTTTCTGAAACATGAGGCAGAGACTTCTTTTCTCCATGAGCAAGTTGAAAGCTGCTCCATGGCATCCTTGGCTGGCAGGACTTTATCCGAGGAGAGGTCTTCTCATCTGGCAGAAGGGGAAACTGAGGCCCACAGTGGGGGACGGGAGGAATGTGTGCAGGATTGCACAGCTAGCTAGTAACAGAGCTGGGCAAAAATGAGTTCTTTTTCCTCCAAGTTCAAGAGGAAGCTCCCAAAACCCTCCACCCCACCCCACACACCCTTTCCCTCAAGTGTGTCTGGAGGCACTGGCTGTTTGCCTGAGGTCAATAAGCAGGGATCTCCAAGCCCTTGTTGAGAGCTGTGGGGCAAGGCCTTTGCTTGCTCTCCCCTTATCTTCAGAGGAGAGAGGGGCTAGCATAGAGGGAGGAGGCAGAGGCAGAGCAGGGTCCTCCAGTAGGAACCTGCCCTGAGCTACCTGGGTTGAAAGGCAGCTCTGCTGGGGTTGCAGGAGGGTATTCAGATATTGGAGATCCTTGAGAAGGGCAACCAGGGCCTCCAACCAGCTGAGAGTGAGAGGGTGCAGTGGAGAAAGGCACCAGGCTGTGTGTGGAGGGTCCCAGGAGTGCCCAGGACATACTGACTCTGCCTTGTGCCCTGAGCTGCCCTGGGAGGGGTGGCCAGGAAAGCTGGTCGCTGAGGAGTCCACAAGCCATCCTAACAATAGCCCCTAACCCAGGCTGCACCAGTGGGAGAGGAGGCATCAGGCTAAGGAGAGGAGAGAAAGAGAAGAGTTGAGAGCGAGGGCCTGAGAAGTGGGAAGGAGGTAGCTTGAGTTCTTGAAAATACAAAATAAGGGTGTGCGCTCTGCTGAGTGTAGAGACAGGAGGGGAAGGGTCTGTGTTCAGCACACTGTCATTTATTCACTCAGATGCCTTAGGCCAGCAAGAGGCTGCTGCAGGCCTGCCTGTGAACTGATTCATCGTATTATGTAAGGAAAACAGGGAGAGGGCTTCATGAGTCTTGGGGAGGTAGCTGCCTGGTTGATATTTGAGAAAGGGGAGCATGAGGGGAGCTATCTTGAATCTGTTCAAGGACAAGCTGATTGGGGAGGGTCAGAGAGCTGGACCCACAGAGTAAGCCTGCCTAGATGGGCTCGGACCAGGCTAGACTCCCTGCCTTCTTCACAGACCAGGTCCTCACTCCTCAGGAACCATCTGTGTGATCGCCTGATTGGGAACAAAAATTGAACAGGACACAGTCCTTGCCTCAGGGAGCTTCCAGACCAAGTGGGTGAAGGAGGGTGCTCCCATGGGACCTGGGAGCCTGAGGGGCCAAGAATAGATCATGCCCAGACCTCATGGCCACAGAATCCTGTCCTGTGCCCCAAAGAGTGGGAGTGGACAAGGCAGATGCTGCATGAGCATTAGAACATCTGGGAAAAAACCTGAGGGAAGGGCAGTAGCTGAGTGTGGCTGGAGGCCAAGTAGTGGCTGACAGAACTGGGAGGGCAGCACGGGGGAGGAGTTGGCCTGTGTTCAGTCAAGCAAGGACACAATGTCAAGAACTCAAGAAGGGGCCAGGCAGAGCCAGGTGGCCATTGGACAATGCACTCTGCCAGTGGCCTATGTATATGTGTATGCATGTGTCTGTGCATGTGTATATGTATGCATGCATGTTTGTGTGTCCATGTACCTATGTGCCTGCCTGTGTGTGTACATGCACGTGTGTGCCTGTGCATCTATGCATGTTTGTGTGTGCCTGTGTGTCTATGTATGTAAGGGGGTGTTGCAGAGATGTGTGTGTGGCTGTGTGGCTATGTTTATGTGAGAGCAAATGTCTATTTGTGTATATCTGTGTCTGTGTGTGACAGTGTCTGTGGGTGTGTATATCTGTGCATGCATGTATGTGTGTATGTGCATGTGTCTGTGTATGCCTCTGTTTCAATGTATCTATATGTGTTTCTATGTGTCTGTGTGTAAGAAACTGTCTATGTGTGTGTGTGTGTGTGTGTACATGTGTGTATACACTTATGTGTGTCTGTGTGAGAGTGTGTTTATGGGTGTGTGTGCTTTGTCATGCATGTGTGTATGCATGTGTGTGTGTGTGTGTGTGTGTGTCCCTGTGTCTATGTGTGTGGTACATACGGATCAGGGAAGAAGCTGGAGGCTGAGGGTGCAGGTTCCAACCAGGAGCTCCTTCAGGTCCTGGTGGGAGATGCTGAGGGCTGGACTCCTAGGGAAGGGCTGGGTGAGCAGGATAGGCCTGGGCCCCTGAGACCGGAGCAGCTTTCAGTTTGGGGCAGTCCCAAGCTGGCAGTGGGAGGCCTTCTGGGGCTTATGGCTGGGTGTGTGGCCCAGAGCTTCCCAAAAGCAGGGAGAGACCAGGCCTGCTCAGTTCAGAACCCAGGGAGGAAACTGGTGTCCAGAGCCTGCACAGGGCTATCAGAAAGTGTTGGTAAATCTATGGAAAGAATCACCAAAAGCAAAACTGCAAGTGGGGTCAGATGGCCAGTGGGAAGCCAATGCAGAGGGCATGTTCTCTCGGTATCTGAGGAAATGTTCACTTTTTGGTAACAGGTGTGTGTGGATGTGAATGAAGCTGGGTGGGTGAGTCTGAGTGTGTGCATTCACAGGGTTTAGGGCACCCATGTCGGCTGCAAACCTGGAAGCAGCCTGAAACCCCTGCTTACTCCCCAGGATGGAGCCCATCTACCCATATCCCTCCCAGAACAAAAGCCCCCTGGGCATTGAGGTGGGGCAAGGAGGCAACAGCACCCTTTCACCATTACTCACCTATAACTATTGGGAGCTCAGCAGGATCCAGGCCTGCCTGGGGCCTCTGCCCAGGAGGAGCTTGGGGGAATACAACAGGGCACTCACCCGGTGCCCTGATCAGTCCTGTTCCCACATCTCTCCACCCAAGACCTGAGGAAAGACAGGAGTCAGAGCCAAGAAAGGTGGGGTGTAGGATCCCACATGAGGGCAGCAGAGACACCTAAGGCACACCAGCCATCAGAGCCAAGCCAGGGTTCAGCCTGGGCCTGATGGGCTCCAAAGCCCTGTGAGTTTTTTCACTATGTTTTTTAATTCCTGCTAGTTGCAGGTAAGCTCCAGGGGGCCATCTGGCTCCCTACCGTTTATTTTTCCAGCAGGGCTTAGCAAACAGCACTTGCTGTGTACTACTGACCTGGGAACCCAGGGCAGCCCAACTCCCTCATCCTGAACCCAGAGCCCATCAAAATGTTTACACACACCCAGGAAGCAATACATTCATTCCCTCAGGAAAATTCCTGCTTGGGGATGCCAGGCTGCCCCACCCCCCACATGCCCTGTACTTCCCTCTGGTCCTGCCAGCCCAGCAGAATACTCCTGCCCTCTGCTTTCTCTCTGTCTGCTTCCTGTCTGTCTTTCAAGACCATCTTCAAGGTTCTGTCTACCAGGGGCAGGCTAGGCCGCCCCACCCTACAAGGTCCAGGGGGCCTCCCTGGACAGTGGCATATACCTGTCTGATACTGTTGCCTGGCAAGCTTCCTCTTCCCAAGCTCCAGCCCTCCCCCACTGCCCCTCTGCAAAACTAATGTCACTCCCTCTGACTCAGTTTCCAAGAGGCTGCATGCAGGGGCCCAATATCAGCCTCTGGGTTAACAGAGGCCTGGAGGCCATCCTGGGGCAGGTGTCAGGCAGCCGTTGGGCATACCCAGGCCTGAGCGTGTGGAGCCAGCACAGGGTGAATGTGCACCTGGGGCCTGTGGTCCTTGCAGCACTTAGAGTCCAGGTGAAGGAGGGAAAAGATGTGCAGGCAGAATGGCAGCATAGGTAGCAGCATGTGGACCAGAGCCACACTCTGGGTAGGTCATCAGGCTGCTGGAAGCTCCTACTGGGAAGTCTGGGCAGGGGGAGCTGACCCCAGGGCTGTCCAGTGGCCTTTGTTCAGTCAGCATGATTATTTTGAGAAGCATCATGCTCTTTTTCCAATTACTGCTAAATAAAATTCCATTTTATGGAAATGCCACAATTTTTTTATGAAGGTATAATTGACATATATATTGTATTAGTTGTAGGCATACAACATGATGATTTGGTATACTGTATATTGTGAAATGATCTCCACAATAAGTGTAGTTAACATCCATCACCTCCTATAGTTACTATTTTTGTGTGTGGTGATAATACAAGATGTATTCTTAGCAACTTTCAGGTCTACAATACAGTCACCACCCTGCATATCCTATCACAGGACTTATTTATCTTATGCCATAGCTGTTTATCCATTCTCCTCTCATGGGCATTTGGGAGCTGCCAGTTTGGGGCTATTACAGATAGAGCCGCCCTGACATTTGCTCCTGGTCTTTGTGTCAATGCAGGGGAAATACCTGGGAGGTGATGGCTGGGGCAGGCAGTACGTGTATGTTTTTTAGAAGCTGCCAAACCGCTTTCCAGGGGGCGAAGGGGCGCTCCATTTCCCTCCAGCCAGCAGTATGCAGGGTGCTCACGTCCCTAACTTCCTCACAACGACGAGTGCCGTTCAGCATCACTTCTTGGGTTCCTTAGCCCTTGGTGGACTTTCTCTGGGGAAGCTCTCCCTCTTCCTTGGGTCCTCTGGGGACAAGCACCCTCTCCCCCAAGTCCTGCCCCGCCCTTGCGCCCTGCCCACCTCACGCCTTTCTCCACAGCCACCCGGGAGTCCGCCTTCGTGCACGCCATTGCCTCCGCCGGAGTGGCCTTCGCAGTGACACGCTCCTGCGCGGAGGGCTCCGCTGCCATCTGCGGATGCAGCAGCCGTCACCAGGGCTCTCCAGGCCACGGCTGGAAATGGGGTGGCTGCAGTGAGGACATCGAGTTTGGTGGGATGGTGTCTCGGGAGTTCGCGGATGCAAGAGAGAATAGGCCTGACGCCCGCTCTGCGATGAACCGCCACAACAATGAGGCTGGGCGCCAGGTAAGTCCACAACCCTGTGTGTCCTAGCCATGTGTCTGGGGGCCCTCTGAGCACTGCCCTAGGTATCCTTGGGGATTAGGGCAGTGTCTTTGACCATGGCCCTGTGTGTCTGAGGGTGCACCAAGGCACCCTCTGACCACTGTCTTGTGCATTGGGGAGGGGTCTCTGACCATGGCCCTCTGGGCCTTGGGGATGTTCCAGGGGACCCGCAGAGCACACCCCTGGTCCCTGGAGGAGTATGGCCTGGTCTGAAACATAGTACTGTCCAATTGCTCCACAAGTGTCTGGGTATTCCCACAGATTGGTAGGTCTACTTCTGGAGTTGGGGTCACAAGAAAGGAGGGATGGGATAAAGGCCTGCCTTGCAGGGGCTCCTACACAGCCAAAGAGATACGGCTAGGTGGCCACAGCACAGTCTGGGAAGTTCTATGTGAGGGAATGCATACACATAAGGTACAGAGGAGGGTCCAGACCCAGGCTGGAGTCTCAAAAAAATGACTTCTGCTGTCAAAGATGGTGAGCAGAGAAATACAGACTAATGGCAGTTATCTAGCTGGGAGGAGGCCAGGAGAGCCTCCAGGCAGCCGAGAGGTGAGGCTGCACATGAGTTAGTCTGGGTAGAATATGGAAAACAGAAGGAGAAAGAGAATTTGGGAGATGGAGAAGCTGATGGGTCAAGCTTTGAGGGCTTTGTGAGCCCTGCTAAAAAGGACTGGGTCAGAAGTTCAGTGGGAAACTGACAGAGGACTGACTGCTGATAACAGGAACTATGTAAGGACCTACAGGTGTCTAGTAGATTTAGCAACACAAGTTGGCACTGGCTTTGCCCCGTGGAACCAGGGGATTGCAGAGGGCTGAAGAGTGAACGGGGACACTCAACTTCCAAAAACGGGGACTAGGTGAGTCAGTCTCATCTTCCTGTTGAAGACAGTATAAATGTAGGATGGAATACAAAAGGCACCCTGTTAAAAGTAAAGAATCCTCACCTGTGTAAAGTCACCTGATTTATCTCAAGGGAGGTAAAGCAGTGCAGACAGGGAAAAAGGCTTGTCAATAAATGTGCTCAGTCCATTGAATCACAATATGGAAAAAGTAATCTTGACCCCTACCTCACACCATATATAAATGTAATTACAAATCCAAATGGGAAAGGTAAAACAAACCCAAGAAAACGCTTAGAAGAAAACCTAGGAGACATCTTAGGCAGAGATTTCTTAAATAGGTCAAAGAAAAATATAAAAATGTGGACCATATTTAAATTAAGAATGTCTATTCAGCCCTAGCTGGTTTGGCTCAGTGGATAGAGCATTGGCCTGTGGACTGAAGGGTCCCAAGTTTAATTTCAGCCAAGGGTACATACCTTGGTTGTAGGCTCCTCCCTGGCATGTGCAGGAGGCAACCAATCGATGTGTCTCTCTAAAATCAATGGAAAAATATTCTCAGGTGAGGATTAAAACAAAATTTTTTTTAAAGAAACGTCTATTCATAAAAGGCACCATCATAAAACTGAAAACACAACCCACACAGAAGGAAATAATATCTCCAAAAATATATGAAAGCTATAATATAAGAACTCTACAAATTAATTTTTTAAAAAGACAGATAACCCAATAAAAAAGTTGGCTAAAAAATGTAAAGCCACTTCACAAAAGAAAATATAGGAATGGCCAATAAGTATATGAAAAGGTGTTCAATAACATTAGCCATCAAGGAAATGCTGTCAGAATCAGTGCCCTGAAAAAGGGGAGGACAACCACTGGAAAAGAGCATGATGGGAGTTTCTGAGGACCTGGTGATTTGTGAAATTTTGTCATGTTTTAGATTATGACATACATACATTTTTGTATAATACACTTCCATAAAATGACTTTAAAATGTAACATAACTAAACTAACCATAGAGTGAGGAATTAGTAGTCCCAGGTGCAAAAGACAGAACACTGAATCTGGTACCTGGGGTAGCTTTTGTACAAGCGTCATTTGCTGATGTGGAAGAAAGTGCATACACTAAGCTGCGCTTCTCTCAGCCTCACAGAGCTAACGGACCCACGAAGGGTGGTCTCTCTAGGACAGTGGTTCTCACCTTCTGGCCCTTTAAATACAGTTCCTCATGTTGTGACCCAACCATAAAATTATTTTCGTTGCTACTTCATAACTGTTATGAATCGTAATGTAAATATCTGATGTGCAGGATGGTCTTAGGCAACCCCTGTGAAAGGGTCGTTCGACCACCAATGGGGTCACAACCCACAGGTTGAGAACCGCTCGCTGCTCTAGGAAATCACTGCCCAGTTTAGGACCCTAGGAAGTAATGGTAACCCAGAAGCAGACCAGCTGTTGTGCACATGTGTAGACTTGAGCTAGGCTGAACATTGTTTCTACAAATAATTTTTCAAACACAATGTCCACATAAATAAGGATAACCTGTCACATGAGCTGATGACACAATGGATAAGTGGTAATCAGGGGGGAAAAAACAGAAACAGTACTCTAAATACTAGAATGAGTAGGCACGGATTATTAAAAAAATATATATGTTCGCCCTAACCGGTTTGGCTCAGTGGATAGGGCATCGGCCTGAGGACTGAAGGGTCCCAGGTTCGATTCCAGTCAAGGGCATGTACCTTAGTTGCGGGCACATCACCAGTAGGAGGTGTACAGGAGGCAGCTGATTGATGTTTCTCTCTCATTGATGTTTCTAACTCTCTATTCCTCTCCCTTCTTCTCTGTAAAGAATCAATAAAATATATTTTTTAAAAATATGTTCACTGGACAGACACACACAAAAAGATGAAATTAGACCGCCAATTACACCATACACAAGAATAAACTCAAGATGGATAAAGGACTTAAATGTAAGGCATGAAACCATAAAAATATTAGAGAAGAACATAGGCAGTAAAATCTCAGACATCTCATGTAGCAATACGTTTACAGTTACATTTCCTAGGGCAAAGGAAACTGAGGAGAAAATAAACAAATGGGACTGCATCGAAATAAATTTAAAAAGCTTCTGCACAGCAAAAGAAACCACCATCAAAATGAAAAGGGAGCCCACTGTATGGGAGAACATATTTGCCAATGATATATCTGATAAAGGGTTAATATCCAAAATATATAAAGTACTCATACAATTCAGCAAAAGGAAAATAAACAATCCATTTTAAAAAATGACAGAAGACCTGAATAGACATTTCTCCAAAGAGGACATACAAATGGCCAAGAGACACATGAAAAAATGCTCAAAGTCAGTAATCGTCAGAGAAATGCAAATTAAAACCACAATGGGATATCACCTGACACCTATCAGAATGGCTATCATAAAAAAATCAACAAATGACAAATGCTGGCAAAAATGTGGAGAAAAGGGAACCCTAGTACACTGCTGGTGGGAATGCGGACTGGTGCAGCCATTATGGAAAAAGGTATGGAGTTTCCTCAAAAAATTAAATATGAAATTGCCATTTGACCCAGCAATCCCACTCCTGGGAATATATCCTAAAAACCCAAAAACTCCAATCAGAAAGAATATATGCACCACTATGTTCATAGCAGCATTATTTATAATAGCTAAGATTTTGAAACAGCCCAACTCTCCATCAGTAAATGAATGGATAAAAAAGCTGTGGGACATATACACAATGGAATACTATGCAGCTATAAAAAAGACAGATCTCTTACCCTTTGGAACAGCATGGATGGACCTTGAAAATATTATGCTAAGTGAAATAAGCCAATCTGAGAAAGACAAATATCACATGATCTCACTTATTTGTGGAATCTAATGAGCAAAATGAATTGACCAACAAAATAAGACCCAAAACAGGGAGGCATGGAACAAACTGACAGACATTGATGTGGGGTTGGGAAGATGAGAAGAGGTAAGCTAAAGAGTTTATATACTTACTAGGGGCCCAGTGCATGAATTCATGCACCTTGAAAAGAACGGTGGCCTCGAGGCTGCGGTGGGCATAGGGGCAGATCTCGGCCCATCCTCCATGCCCCGCCCAGCCCCTCCCACCAGGACCCTGTTCCCTGTCTGCTGGCAGCCCCGCTCCCACCACTGCCACTCCCACACACTGACTGTGCCAGCCCCGCTCACACCCACTGACGGCACAGAGCAATTGGGGCCGGCGCCAGCAGCAGGTGCAAGTGGGGCCAACACTGTCAGCAGGTGCGAGTGGTGGCTACTGCCCTGATCACCCTTCAGGAGCAAGGGAAGGTGGAGAAGCCCTCAGGGGTGATCATGGCCGGCGCCAGGCACCGGCAGTGGGTGCAAGCAGCGGCTCTGGTGTCAGCTGCAGGTGTGAGCAGGGCCATCTCCAGCAGTGGGTGAGAGAGGTGATTGCCAGCCCCAATTGCCCCTCAAGAGCAGGGGGAGGTGGAGAAGCCCTGAGGGGCAATCGGGGCCGGCAGCCTCCACTTGCACCTGCTGACGGTGCCGAGCAATTGGTGCTGGCGCTGGGCACCAGCAGCGGGTGCAAGCACCAGGCAGTACCATGGCGTGCAGGAACAAAGAATTTTCAGTAACCACCAGAGGCTGACCCCGATGACAGCGACCAGTGCCCCGCCTTGGTCTGGCACCCCCACTCACCTGCTCCACCATTCCATCACAGCCGACGCCTGCCATGTTCCATGCGCACCCCCAGATGGTCAGCGCACATCATAGTGATCAGTTGTTCGATTGTTCCACCGTTCAGTCTATTCTCATATTAGGGTTTTATATATATAGACTAGGGGCCCAGTGCACAAAATTCGTGCACTGGGTGTGTGTGGGGGGGGGGGAGTGTCCCTCAGCCCAGCCTGCCCCCTCTCACATACTGGGAGCCCTCAGGCATTGACCCCCATCACCCTCCAATCGCAGGATCAGCCCCTTGCCCAGGCCTGACGCCTCTGACAGAGGCGTCAGGCCTGGGCAGGGGACCTTCATTTCCCCTCATCACTGGTTCTGCCCCCAGCCCAGGCCTGATGCCTCTGGCCCAGGCATCAGGCCTGGGCAGG